CTATTCTCATGAATATACATGAGACAAACTGACTGTTAAAACTCAAGTCAAAAAATAATAATCTCTTTAGTAATGATTAAATTTCACCTGGTTTAATTTTGACTTGATGTGAGTCTCTGATAAAATGTAGAGTAAGAAAATAAACAATGGCAAGTTCAAGTGAGAATCAGTTTATTTAACAATTATGTATTACCAGCCTGGCCAGAGTGGCTCAGTTGGTTGAACATTGAAGGGTTGTCAGTTCAATCCCCAGTTAGGGCATGTACAAAAGGCAAAAGATCGAAATTTCCCTCTCATATCAATGTTTCCCTCCCTTCTCCCCTCTCCCTTTTTCCCTGTCCTTCTCTCTAAGCATGTCCTCAGGTGTTGGGGTCCTGCCCCATCAGGTCCAGGGGTTCCCAAAGGTGTGGAAGGAGTCAGCGAAGAAGGAATGACACGTAGGCAGCGTTCAGTTGATCAGCATAGCCAGGTTCTCCAGCCAGGTTCTGTCTTTATTCTCTTGTTACATCTGTATTTATACCAGTTGATTTTAATCCTATCCATTCTGTTCCAAATGTTTCTTCCCTGCAGCGACTATGTCAAGCAGCAAGGGTGGACCAGCTTCCAGCAAATTCCCCCGTTTTTATTTTTTAAATGACAGAGAGTGTAAAACAGCGGCCACCTCTCGGATTGGATTGTTTAAGACTCAGAAGAAGACTTGTTTGTGATTTTGCTAACAGGTCAGTCCGAGGCTTAATCCTATATCGGCTCCCCACACTCAGGTGAGGATTTAAAAATATATATATTACCAAAGATCAGGTCTACATGCACTTAAGACATTAACAATAAACAAACCAGTACAATATTTAAGGAATGGTTACAAAGACCGCAAGAATCCCTGGATGTAGAAAGATCTAATTAAATGCAGCCCTCAAATGAAGGGCAAGTCTATCAACTTGCTCTGAATACACACCTGTACTACCAACAAGTGCCAAAAAAATCATAGATTTTATTGTGACTGAGGATGCCACAGTTTCTCCATAAGTACCTTAGGCAAAGGCACAGCAAAGGAGAAGGCAAAGATAGCAGACAGCAGATCTGATTTCAGACATTTACAACAAAATAGGTACCTGCTTAGTGGATCCCAAGAGAAGGGGAAGGGGGGGGGAGGTCTCTTTAAATGTTCTAAACCAAGATCATTATACAAATACTAGAGGCCCAGTGCACGAAATTCATGCACTGGGGGGTGGGGTTCCCTCAGCCCAGCCTGCCCCTCTCACAGTCCGGGAGCCCTCAGTGGATGTCCTACTGATGGCCACAGTCTGGCAGCAGAGGCTCGGAGCAGGCGTCCCGTGTGTGTGTGTGTGTGTGTGTGTGTGTGTGTGTCTACTGGGGCCTGCCCCCCAGCCGCGCCATGTAGGCTCGAAGCAGTTGCCGTGTGTGTGTGTGTTTTCCCAATGGGGGTCTGCCCCCAGCCATACTGGAGGCTCAGAGCAGGCACTGTGTGTGTGTGTGTGTGTGTGTGTGTGTGTGTGTCTGCTGGGGGCCTGCCCCTAGCCACACCATGGAGGCTTGGAGCAGGAGCCCCTCTGTGTTGATCTCTCAGGCTCCTGGCCTCCACTGCATGTTGTACTCTCCCTTGAGCTATGGCCAAGATGGGGGTGCTGCTTGCAAGCCGGGCTTTCCTGCTCCAGGATCGCCATGGTGACGGGGAAGCACACCCAGCTGGGGGCTGCCCACAGGCCAGGCTTTCCCGCTTCCAGGTCTCCATGGCAACCGGGGAGCAGGCCCAGCTTGGAGCTGCCTGCAGGCCCGACTTGCTCTCCTGCTCCCGAATCCCCATGGCAACCAGGGAGCAGGCCCAGCTGGGAGCTGCCCACAAGCCGGGCTTTCCTGCTCCTGGATCAGGCCCAGCTTGGGGCTGCCCACAGGCTGGGCTTTCCTGCTCCCTGATCAGGCCCAGCTGGGGGCTGCCCTCAGGCCAGGCTTGCTTTCCTGCTCCCAGATCACGATGGCAACTGGGGAGCAGGCAAAATTTGGGGCTGCCCGCAGGCCAGGCTTGCTTTCCTGCTCCCGGATCAGGCGCAGCTGGGGGCTGCCAACAGGCCGCACTTTTCTACTTACCAATGGCCGGATCACCACAGTGACCCAGGGCCCAGCGGCACTTTCCTGCTCTCCAATAGTCATAGGGTCCCGGCTGGGGGTGGGACTTAGCAGTGCGGGGCTCAGGTGGCACACAGGGGTCCCAGCTGGGGGCGGGGCTTATGCCCCGCTGCCCAGGGCTGCACATGGGGCCCGGATGGCAGCTTGTGCAGTCCCGCCCTGCCTGTAGTATAGGATAGAGGCCTGGTGCACGGGTGGGGGCCAGCTGGTTTGCCCTGAAGGGTGTCCCGGATCAGGGTGGGGGTCCCACTGGGGGGCCTGGCCAATCTGGGTGAGGGGCTGAGGGCTGTTTTCAGGCTGGCGGGTGAATGAAGCTCCCAGCCTCTCCTTTTTTTTTCTTTTTTTTTTTTTATTCTGGGATTTATTTACTTTCTATGGCTGTCACTGGATCTGAGAGCTGGCTTTAGCTCTGAGGCCGGCTCCAGCTTGAGGCCTCAGCTGCTGAAAGCAGATATCTGGGCTTTGTTTAGGTTCTATAATTGAAACACTGTTGCCATCACTGCCGCTCTAAGCTCTGAGCCCCCTGCCGGCAGAAAGCAGGTTTCTGGAGCTTGTTTATGTTCTATAATTGCAACTTTGTTGCATCCGGAACTCAGAGCTGGGCTGCCGCAGGCGGGGAACCTTGGCTTCCTCCGTCACTGGAGCAAGCAAGCCTCCTATTCGCTTCAGCTGCCTGGCAGCCAGCAGCCATCTTGGTTGGCAGTTAATTTTCATATCCTGCTGATTAGCCAATGGGAAGGGTGTCGGGATTATGGTCAATTTGCATGTTTCTCTTTTATTAGATAGGATATTTATTTATTTTTAGTAATTATCAATGGTCACCAATATGGTAGGCAATTTAGCTATTCTTGTAACCCTCAGCAAAACTAAGTCTCAAACCAAAGTCTGCCACACATATAGACACTTACTAACAGACATATAAACAATCTTAAAATGTGCTCTGGGAATGAGCACATTTCCTGGATAAGCTCAGGGAAGTCTCAAGTTCCTGCACTTTATAATGCTCCAACAACCTGCATGAAAACTTCACATGAGGCAAATGCATCAATATTCTGACTTGGCTAAACATATTGTCAGACTCAGAGCCATCAAGAATTCTCCAGCCCAATGACTGAACACAGGACCATTTCATCAAGCACAGGTTCTATCCTGAAAGGTAAAAATGAAAGGCCAGCTAGATGGTTACTCTTCCAATTCAAGGGCTCAGAATTTCTATAATATAATAACTCATTATATTATACCACTAATTTCATCAATGTGGGCCCATTTCTAACATGATTACCTAATGAGGAAGGCTATGAGTGTTTATAGGGAGAAAGATGGTTGAATCACTTATATTTCCCTCCCCTTTGGAATGTGGCCTTTTTTTTTTTTCAATATATTTTATTGATTTTTTTTACAGAAAGGAAGGGAGAGGGATAGAGAGTTAGAAACATCAATGAGGAGAAACACTGATCAGCTGCCTCCTGCACACTCCCTACTGGGTATGTGCCCGCAACCAAGGTGCATGCCCTTGACCGGAATTGAACCCGGGACCCTTGAGTCTGCAGTCCGACGCTCTAGCCACGAGCCAAACTGGTTAGGGCGCAATGTGGCCTCTTGAATAAATGCTAGCTAAGCACTCCTACAGTGTTCCTAATTAGGACAGCCATTACCTCTAGATGGGAATGCAACAGGCGTGCAGAAATGTACATACATATATGCACCCAAGGCATACCATCTATGCTGAAGTGGGGCTTTTTTTTTCTACTAACGTAGAGATTGCATAATAGGGAGCTTATCATAGCTAATTCTTCTGGACCTATGCCATTCAATAAAGTAACCACTAGCCACATGAGGCTACTAAGCACTTCAAACATGGCTAATCAAATTGAGATGTGCCAGAAGTGTAGATTATACACTGGCTTTAGAAGTCTTGGTACAAAAAAAAAAAATGCAAAGTATCTCATTGATACTTTTTTTATCAATTATATGTCAAATAACATTTTAGACACTGAGTGAAAATACATTAATCTCATCTGTTTACGTTTATTTTCTTAACATGGCTATTAGAAAATTTAAAACTGCATATGCCCTGCAACTTTGTCCACATTATATTTCTATTGAACTGTAATAATGTAGATAGACTCTTACTCTCCCTAAGCCTCTAGACCTCCTCAGTAGTTTTCTATGCTTCAACAGATGATTTAGAAGACATCAAGGCTATTTCACTGTCAAATAACCATTCGTATCAGTTCTTTCATGACATTCAACTTGAACCATCTCTTCTTAACCAAAACTCTTCTTCTGCCCTCTTTGATGCCTTTATTGTCACACTAAATCATGTTTTACCTCTAATCACCACTTCCAGTCCCTTTATCTCTCCTATTACCCACCTCAAACATTATATCAGGATTTTAACTTGAATTACTACGTCCAAAAATTTACAATATATGGAATTTCCTTCAATCGAAACAAATCTTACATATAAATTTTTAAAAATCAATAGTTTAAAATCTCTCAACTGCCCAGTTTTTAAGAGGAAAAAAAAAAACTCACATTATATTAGTTATTCTGCTAAAAACAAGGTAAACACATTGTAAATTTATTCAATTTTTGGCATACATACATACAAATACAAAATTAAAGACTCATTCCTTTTTTCTGCTGCAAAAAAAAAAAAAAAAAGACTCAGGCTGTGATTCACAATGTAAAAAGAAACAAAGATTGAACACTGATAAAACCTATGATGTTAGAGCAAGAAATCATTACACAGCATTAATAAAATTTAATCAGTCCACTGAACACAGTATGGAAACAAGAAAGTAAAATAAAACCATTACAACTTACCTGTTGAAAATATTTTTTTGAATACTTACTTTTTCATTAGAATCATATCCTGCTGAACAGAGACTACGGGTCACCATTAAGTGCTGTCTTGAATGGTGTGAAACATTCTACAAAAAAAAAAAAAGTGAAATAAATTACAGCAATTTGAATGGGCTTCAAAATATATTTATTTTTTAGAGGGGGAGAAAAAGGGGGAGAGAAGTGGGGAGGCAAATTTTAATTTTTCCAAAGTCACAGGGCTAGGCTATAATGGTTATAGGATTTAAGCATAGGCCTGTTAAAAACACTGTGAAGTTTTTTATTTTGAGATAATAAAAAAAGTGGCACCTCCCATCATAACACTAATGTCTATGCAAAGACATGATTTGGGGTGAAAAAAAAAACTATTTGCCAAGAGGGTCTCACCACTCCCTGTGTTCAAATAAAAATAAAAATTCAGTCTCCCACTGCCTTCAGCAGAAAAGCTATAACATAGTAACTTTTCTCTTACATTAAACTTAATAGGATAAAGGATATCCCTTCTCCTAAAAATCATGTCCTATGCTTATAACCTCAGCCAATGCAAAAAACAAATTGAAGAATGAGAAGCAAAAACTACCTGGGAATTTCTCATATTTATTCTGCTGCACGGTAGCACTAGGATATTTGCACAAGAAAGTAAATAGCATACCAGCTTTCTATCAATTTTATAAAATGGAACTCCCTAATACTGTAAGGTCTATAATGATCTGTTGCAGGAACATGTCACTATATCCTTTTACAAAAGGCAAAAATCATATGTGTCTTTAATCTCTACCAAATAAAGGATATAACTGATTCCTGGTAGCAAAAATCAAATGTGAGTCTTCCAGAGACAAAACGCAATCTGGGATAGAAAATTTGGGTATTTTAATTAGCTTTGGAGAGTGAGAATAAACAGTGATGTTTTTACCTCTGGGAAGGGAACACCTGGAAAAGCAGTGTACCACCTGGGAAAGAACTCCGGGAGAGGAAGTAAAGGAACCTCAGTTCTCATCCTACCTCTACAATTTGAGCAAACCACTTTTTTAACCCCTCTGCTCTTTAAGAAATGCAAGATTAGGTTACTTTTCTTGAAGGTCACTTACTAACCTAAGCCACTCTTATTCAAAAAATGAAACTTAGTACAGAGGTATCTAACATGTACAAGCTTTTGACAATTGAAGGATATGCAGTTACTCCAAACTCAACATTTGGGCCAAGAAAATGTTGATGCAGATATCTATCACTCACTGCTCAACTACCTTGAGAATAACAAACATGCAGAGCTACTTGGTAGAAATAATGCTAATTACAGGTGATCCTTGAACAACTGGGGGCAGGGTGTAGGGATGCCCACTCCCTGTGCAGTCGAAATATACATTTAACTTTTGATTCTACAGTCTGTGCTTCACATCGATGAATTCAACCAACCTCGGATGTTTTCCATCTGTAGTTGGGAATGCAAAAATAATGAATCCAAGCCCTAGCCGGTTTGGAGCAGTAGATAGAGCACTGGCCTGTGGACCAAAGGTCCCGGGTTTAATTCTGGTCAAGGGCACCTACCTTGGTTGCAGGCTCCTCCCTGGCCCAGGCCCAGGCCCTGGGGGGGGGGGGGGGGGGGGGGGCGTGCAAGAGGCAACCAATCAATGTGTTTCTCTCACATCGATGTTTCTCTCTGTCTTTCCCTCTCTTTTCCACTCTCCCTAAAAATCAATGGAAAAATATCCTCGGGTGAGGATTTAAAAAAATTACTGACTCCAATCTGCATTTGGTTGAATCTGAGGATTTGAAACCCCCATACAAAGGGCTGACTATGTTTATTGAAAATAATCTGCTCATAAGTGAACCCACACAGTTTGTGTTGTTCCAGGGCCAACTGTACATAGACTCTAATAAATATGCATTACACATTAAATCTCTAGGATAAAAACCTCAGGACTCTGTCTCATTAGACTCATGAAGAATGGACTAAGCTAAATTTGGCCTAACTGGAGACAGTTTCTATCCCAGAACAACCCAGAAATATCTAAGTGGCCAAGCTCTGAAAAATGTTTGGGTTGGCTGACTCAATGTATATTATCTTTACTTTCAGGAAACTACCAATAACATAAAACATCTGTACCACAAAACTCTTAAAACTAAATCAACTCTATTATACACTACACCTGTCCAAAAATGTAGACGACGTAGCATTATACCTAAGTGCTCAAAACTGGTCTTTTGTCATCTTTTTATTAGTATTTAAAAATACTCAGTCCTGAACATCTAAGACTATATTTTACCACCATTATCAAAAAGAAGACATATAACTGTACACATGTGAATTTTTTATAAAGTAGCTCCAAATTTTAAAAAACATGGATGCCCCTCATTAGCCAAGTAACTAGAAGTAGAAATGGTACAAGCAGACAAAACTATAACAAAACAACTACTATGGAGAAAAAAGGGTTTGGGCCTTTCCCATAGTGAGTCTGAACTGGTTTGTAGGCAGCCCCATAAAAGTTCTCTTTGTCCTTGTTTACTCTTGGTGGAATTTCATGGAAATTCAAGGTTTTAAAGAACATAAGTTAAAAATCACACAATTTTGTACAACTACAACAATTTTTTAATACATGGAACAAGTTAGCAGAAATCTGATAATTTGGACTTATACACAGAATTTTAATGTTTATTGTTTTTGTTAAGCATAGAATAAACTGGCTACAAGCCCAGTCCAAAATTCTTTTAAAAAACTTCCTAGTAACAGGAGTCCGAGGAAAAACTTTAATGAACTTCATTTATTTATAAAGACTATTTAGCTTATCACAGCCAAAAGGAAAAGGTCAGCATGTGCAAAATTACTTGCCCATAGCATAATGCATTGGTTCTCTTCTGTGAGAATGAAGATTTCCTATATTTTGACACTTAGAAAGGAAATGCCTGCTCACACATGGGAAGTCAGCATGACCTTCAAAGTCACAAGACCTGGGTCAACTCTTTGCTCCACTGCTTTATAGCTATGCAACATCGAGCAAATCATTTCTCTAGACTCCACTTATAAAACGTAGGTGATGACACCGCCCCTGCTTTTCTATGGAGTTGTTAAAAGGATCAAAGGAGACTTGATAAACTATAAAGCACCAAGAAAATGTAAGGTATTACACAAAAAATAAATCTGATTATGTAGGAAAAATGTCCTTCCTTCTTAAATTATACCAGACCATTTGGGAGTTAGCATTAAAATAAGATTACAGTAATTAAGAGCTCTTGTCTAGCCTATGACAGATTCTGACATTTGTTAAATATAAAGGAAATGTCCTCATATATAAACTGGGCATAATAACAGTACTTACCGAGGATATAGGCTACTTTAAGAATTAAATGAGAAAGTGTAAACTGTCTAGCAGTTCTGCATATATTACAGTAAGCACACAATAACTGTTGCCCCCAAAAGGGGAGGGAGAATGTACAGCTTTTAGACAAACTGGATGCATGTCTTCCAGCCATTACAAACAAGGAAATGAAAATAACCTTTTCGCCGAAACCGGTTTGGCTCAGTGGATAGAGCGTCGGCCTGCGGACTGAAGGGTCCCGGGTTCGGTTCCGGTCAAGGGCATGTACCTGGGTTGCAGGCATATCCCCGGTGGGAGATGTGCAGGAGGCGGCTGATCGATGTTTCTCTCTCATCGATGTTGCTGACTCTCTATCTCTCTCCCTTCCTCTCTGTAAAAAATCAATAAAATATATTAAAAAAAAATATATTTCAAAAAAAAAAAAAAAATAACCTTTTCTAAACTAAGACAGTACCTACTTTCACACTGTAGACATGACCTCATGTGACAGTTCAAACTGGTAAATTCAGTAGCAATTATCTTAAAGAACAATTTAAACACTAGTTCTGTACGAAACTACTGTTGTTCTTAACACACCTACAGTGGCATTCAAGTGAATACTAAAACAATTCTGTGAATTCTTTATCACAATGCATTCTGCTTCAAAAAAGAAACTCTCCTCAAAAATGTGAACAACAGATCTTACCAAGGTAAAAGTACACATTGGTTTGTGCATCAACTTCAACATTTCCAGAAGAAGGTCATCTCTGCCAAGTTTCATGACACGGAGCTGGGAAGCTGCGTATTTCAGCATTAACAGACCTGGATTGACCTTTTAAGCCTTAAAATTTAAGGGAACTCCCTCTGAAAACACTAATGGAAGTCAGGCTTTTTCACTTAAGCACAGCTTTTTCTTTCAAACAGACATTGATTACATATTTAGTCTTCGGGACCTCACTGGCCATTCCAGTCTTCAACTGTCTGCCAAAGACTGTTAAAAGCAAGGCTGAACACCTGATATTTGAGAGAGGGGATCCAATCTCAAGATAGTAAGCTAAAGCACCAAGTAACTATACACAACTCCATAACTTCACCATCCCTCCATGGCTCCACCAGACCATTCCTCCCACCCACCTACAGGGGATGTCATTGGTGCCCATCCAGAGCCTCTTTACCACTCAGCACAGGGGCCCCATTGGGTGGGTAATGAACTACTCATGGCTCACACCTACTCCCAAATCTGGCCTATATGCCTCAACCAAACAGGAGTTCTCATCAAGCCCCCACTCTCACGGCCAATGACTGATTAACACTAAATTCCAAAGGCCAACCACCCTCACCACAACATAGGGCCAATTAGGTAATAAAATATGTGCTTCACAGCTGGCTGTCCTATGTGGCAGACACTAGGCACATGTGGCTACAGAGCACTTGAAATGTGCCAGTCCCAAAATGAGGTGCTTCAGTGTAAAATACACATCAGATTTGAAAACTTAACACCAAAAAAAGTAAAAGACCTACTGAGTTTTTAATATTTCCATGTTGAAATATTTGTAATACATTGGGTGAAATAATCATATATATGCACACATACACACACACACTAATAAAAGACAAACATGCAAATTGTTCGCTATGCCTTAAGCCATCCCCACCAGTCAATCAGAGTGAATATATGCAAATGAACCCAACCAAGATGGCAGCCAGCAGCCACAGAGCTGGAGCGAGCAGGAGGCTTGGTTGCCCAGTGATGGAGGAAGCCAAGCTTCCTGCCCGCCCTGGCTGGCTCTGAGCTC